GGGTTGGGGGTAGGGAGGAGGTAGGTGTAGTTAGTTGGTACGTGTACGTAACCTAAACCCCTAACCTTAACTTAGTACGTTAGTAAACTAAATAATATATATATATATATATATATATATATATATATATATATATATATGATTTTTTAGCATGTTTAGTATGCTTTTGAAGAGTTATGCATATATACATGAATTTGAAACCTGAATTATAGAAATCTAGAAGGTTAAAAACTGAATTATTAGATACAAGAAGATTGAAACCAGTGTTCTGAAATACGACTCAGCCAAGTCAGAGTAACTCGCCCGAGTTCAGTCCTATTTAAAAAAAGACAAATTGTAGAATAGATGTAGTATAACCTGCCTCTTTTTAACATTAATTGTCGAATGGTGTAGTGACTAGGTTAGCCGCCTTTGGGCGCCTCCTTTACGAGGGATCTTGGGTTCAATTCCCACGAACCCTTTTTTTTAAGCTCCTGTATACGCCTCCTTTATGAGATGATAATGAGGACAGCATTAAATCAGGGGGATTCGAACCCCAGCTGTGACATGGAATATGCGTGAGCACCATCCAAAACGCCATTTATGCTACTTTTGACTTGAAATTGACCTAGTTATTTATATAAACTATAAAAATACAGCATACACTTTACTTGACGGAAACTCGCCTCGCCCTTACCTCGGCAGATTCCGAGTGACCTTGGCCGAGTCTCGAAACATTGATTGACACTTGAACACATTTGAAATGAAACAACAATCATCTGAGTCATATGGCATTGTGAATATGGACTATGGACCACAGGCCCCATATGACTTATGAATTAAATAGTTACATGTCATATGAACAAAGGTCCCAAAAGACTAGTGAGTCAACTCCCAAGTTCCAAAACAACAAAACCAGAAATTAAACGTCAAATTGCAAACTAAGATTCATTGCCAAGGTCTATCCCGTCAAAAGCCACCACCAGCTACATCATCACAATCCCTACATCTGATACCAAGCTACTATTGTCAGTCAACCTCTCCTGAACAGCTCTTCTTCCTATGTCTCCTCTGTGTCAGCCTCCCCCTCCTCCTCCTCCTCCTCCTCTATTGTCCTGAAGCTCATCTTTAAAGATTGTGCATAGGACTCAATGAGCTTACAGGAACCTCAAGAACTTGGCCCTACCTCAAAACTCCAGAAGGAAATGCTTGATTGTCGCCGGCATCGATTAGCCACTCACTAAACTGATCCATATTTCTCAAAGCAATGGGTTCAATATAAAAGCACTCCGACAACCTATGATTATATTTAAAATATGCAAGATTGTTCAGTCTCTTTTGCTCGAGTTTGTTTCTCTTTTCCATATGGACCTGTTGGATAATGTATGAATGCATAATTTTGAAAAAATAATGCAAGTTAGGGAAGCTGTAATACGGCATACATGGATTGACAACAGTAGGACAATGTGACTTAAAAAATTACCAACTCAGATGACCAAAAGTTGTGTTGCAACCAGATGAGTACAAGTTAGGTTCAAGATGTGAAGGGTCATCCTTGGCAAGAGCCTGGCTTTTCCTCCTTATGTGGCTCACAATAGAAGTACATGACACTGATATTTACTAAAAACAGAATATAGAATATACTAGTTTTGTACTATACCGCATCTATATTTCTAATTTACTATTACATAAATCAAGTAATCAAATCACAAATTCACAATGAAAAAGCAAGTACAAAGACTGCCTAGATGGATTTTAGTCCTCTACCTTATGTCTATAATTGTCCTAAGTAGCTCCATCAAGAACTTGTACATATTCATCACCTTTTTTATGAGGTTTTGGAGTTCTACATCAGGGCTGAGTGTCTTGCTGCGCATACAGAATCCATCCATGATTCAACCTTAGGAATCAATCATTCAATCTCATAATTAGTATAAAAAACATGCACAGCTTAGAAAATAGGCTCAACGCGTGCAAGGACCTATGCATCTGGCTGGTCCACTTATCATCTACTAATGTCATAATACATGAATACTTTTTCTCATTATACCCGTAGTTCTTCCATATCTACTCCCTGGCAACCTCCATTGCCTGATAAATATAACTAATGGGTGGTTCCTTCTCACCATCTACTATATGGAACACATTTACCAAAGAATCGAATGCTTGGAGGGAGTAGCCATCCCAGTCCACAACTACGGTCGCAGAACAAGTTCAAACACCCTTTGTGTGCTTGGACCACTTGTTATTGGTCCATTGTTCAAAGACAAACATAGCACTGAGCATGTCTTTTTGCGCAGGCCAATATAGACTAAACAGACAAATAAGAAGTGGCACCCCTGGTTTCACCAACCTCCTCTTCTCTGTGAACTTCCTCATCATAGCCAAGACATGTGGGTGGTAGTATATGAGAACAATGATGGCTTTTGCTTTCTTTATTGTCGAGTCCATAATTTTCCACTTGCTAATTGTCTTGCAATGAGCCACAAATGGCAGCAAAAAAATATGCCACCTCTTATCCCTTAGTAGTGTGGTGACAGGCATATTGGCAGCAACCATACTTGTGACCACTTGAATGACTACCACTCACCCATGTCCTCTACATGGTCCGCTATGCTGTGACCTGTGCACTGTGTGCTTCCTCAGATGCATCAATGAACTTCAAAAACATTATCCCCATTTAACAATTCACCATTGAGTTCATGATACTTCTCCAACTCCTACCAGTCTATGAATCAGTTAGTATTGAGACCCCTTACTTCCCCCATGCATTTTCAAATGCTTATTTATGAACTCACCTCCTTACACAAGGGATCCCCTGAGCATACGAGGTGCAGAGACCTTCAACCCAGGCCCCAACGGCAACCCTGCTTTCAACATAGCTTGAAAGCTCTTCAAGCCAAAAGCATTGAATGCAATGCCTGTTGTTTCATCCATTAGAGAAATATATTGACATACCCGAGCCCTATCTTCTTCTTGAAGTGGTTCTCTATAGAAGTCTGTTTATTGTCTCTAACCACAGCCTGGGGATCAGGAATAACATAAGAAACCATAGGCCACTTTGTGCAAGGTTTCTTCAGCCCAAACCCCCAGTGCCTACTAATTCTAGTTGAGCCCACTTGTCATCTTCTTCATTATCACCAAACATACTCATTAACCTGAAAATTTCCTTATATTTCTTTTGTTTATCTTCTGTCTTCCTTTGCCCACCTCCAAATGTGCCAAGATTTTAATCCTAACATTGACCTGGGGCTATATCACCTCTGTTACTGGACAAATATCTCTTTACTTGATATATGCCCGCATTTGCATCTATTGGATCAAGCAAAAACGCATATTTCCAATGCGGATCTTGTTAATTTGAAAAGAATATGACATTGCCACCTACTCATCAAAAGAAGCAAACTAACACCCAAACTTGAAAGAATCACAAAACCAAAAACCAATCTTGATTAGACACAAAATGCACCAAATCAAAATCCAATTCAGCCTTTCCGACTCCAACACCACAGAGGCCACAGCCTCCTCTTCGGCCTCGGGAATTTTAACCACACTTGGGGACCCTCCTTGATCATTGAAGGAGATTCCAAGAATGTTATTGCATGGACCTCTAGATCTTCCCCTTGTCCATGGAGGATGGACCACATTTTGGATGAGATATTCCACATTTGCAGAGATATGCACATTGTATGGAGAATACTTGGAGGGAAGCATGCTGTAGCCGACACCCTCGCTATGGAGGGAGCCACCCAACACAACTCGCAAGGGACCCTTTCGGGAATTTTTTAAGTTCTCAAGTCCCGTATTTTGGATATTCTTTTCTTGTTATTTTTTGCTATACGGGTTGCATAGCATTTTTTGGGCCCCAAAGAGAGCTTTTGGACTCGAGCACCCAACTTGAGGTTTGCTGAATTGTTTGTAGCACTTCTTTACCCAATACAACAGCTAACACTTTCAAAAAAAAAAAAATCCAATCTTTAAAATGAATTAAAAAAACTAGAACCCATATATTGTAAAAAGGTACCACACATAAACCCAATCTCGAAAAAAGTCACC